TGGGGTGCTGCCGGGTTGGTCCAGTAGCTCTGCTCCTGGGCCCTGCAGGACCAACCCGGCAGCCCCCCCAGCTGCTCTGCCCCAGGCGTCCTGATACAGCCGCTGCTGAAACTGACCAACAGCTGACTCCAGGAAGCCCGGGGCAGAGCAGCTGAGGAGTGGAGCTGCGGGACCAACCATGCAGCACTCCAGCTTCTCTGCTGCAGGCGTCCCCGATTCAGCTGCTGCTGAAACTGACCAGCAGCGGCTGAATCAGGGACGCCTGGGGCAGAGCCGGACTATTGGAAGGAGGGGGTATGAGGGATCTGGGGTGGCATCCCCCCCCACCCCACCCCAGACCCCTCATAGCCACCCCTTCCGATAGTCCGGCACCCCCTGGGTCCTAAAGCTGCCAGATTATCAGAAATTTACTGTATTTATGAAATGGTCCTAAAAGCTTTGAAACAGATGAGAGTTTCAGGCAACAGTACATGTAACATATTCGCCTGCTTCCTATCTACACAGAATTTCCTACAAAGTAGCACTGCATTTATGAAAAGTCCAACCACTGTACCAAACCAGCTCTGTCAAGGAACCTGGTTACTACACTGTATGTTACAAGCTGAAACAGTGAAACTTAAAAAATCTTCTGTAATCAAGCTAATGCCTTACTATCCATGTCCCTATCTTGGTCACTGAACTTAGTCCGGACTGCCTATGGCGGTGAACCATCATGGGCCCAACTGCCTATTGCGCACTAACTACCCCACATAGATCCCACTGGCACGAACTAAAAATTATCCCATTCACACTGCACAGTACAGTTGGAAATGGCACTACATCAAGGTCGACTAGGCATCTTTTAGTTAGAGCCATCAGGGTCTACAGAGGGAATTTCAAGAGTGCAGTGTGTTAGAATTCTCTGCAATTCACAATCCTTTAATCCAGGCTGTGGTGTCACGTAGACAAGTCTTATGTTGAGATTGGGTTTCCTGACTCAATATATCTGTAGTGCAGAAAGTTGCATTGTAAAAGACATCTTTGCAGCAGAAGGGGACAGCTTTTATTTCATGTAAAGTGAAACTTGATTTTTCAGAAAATATTTTGTGTGCATATTATGTGTGACACAGTTTCTCTTATGAATTGCAAGATTTTCTTTGAACAAATCCAGATGGGGCTTGACAATGGACTGGTGATTTGCTAATAAGTAGCAAACAGGCCTGGTCCTTTGCAGGAAGCCAGTTGATGAACAGAGAGCAAATCAGGAAAGGATCAAGTGACTAATAGCTAAGAAAGAAGAACAAGAGAGTTGAGGGGCCAAAGGGAGTGGATCTGTGTGGGACATGGTCTGCTGGAAGCGAGGGATATAAAGATCCCATTTAATTGGTTAATGAATTTAAAAAGGGGGTGAGGAACCCCTTCAGCCCAGCTGGCCTGGAATGCCTCCCCCTCATCCCCCATTGGGCTGGAGCAGCCTCTGCTTGCAGGGCACTTGGGTCCGCCGCAGACAGAACATTCACGTCCTTACTGGTACTGTAAGCAAGGATGCTTCCTTCAGGACTGGGGGCTGAAATGAAGAGCCCTGGGTTCCACCCAGACCTAGAGGGACTTGGCTGTTTTCTATTCTCCTTGATAACCTAGGGGTACTCCAAACTTTTAACAAACCCTTCCATTTTACATCACTGTCCAGGAGTCACTCCAGTCTAAAGAGGCCAGGGTTTCATTGTTCTCCTGTGGTGTACAAGTCTCCCCCGGAGATCCCATTCAAGTGGACTCACTGAGGAGAGCTTGCAGAGTGAGGCAGGCATGCTGAAGGCTCAGAGGTGCAGTCCCTGGAGGCGGTGAAGCCAAGTGGCTTACCCCAGCAAGGGAGTGTAACCCTGGAGGAGAGCAGACACTCTGAAGGGATTCCGTGAGCAGACACTGTTGAACAGCGCCATGGGAGAGCACCACTGCACTGCAGTTCCAGGATACCAGGATTAGTCAGCCTCTAAAAGTGAGAGAAGAGTTTAGACCAGTGTTTCTTAAACTATGTTATGCATCACAGCAGTGTTCCGCGAGGCAGTCGAAGGTGTGCCACGGAGAACAGGTGACTTTGGCAGGCAATTTTTTTTTTTTTTTTTGTTCAACAAAAAAACCCTTGGTGTTCCTCAAAAAAAA